TGATGTTGTGAAGGTTGTTCCAGCGCTAGCACAGCGCAGATGCAGCATAGTTACAAAGACTGTGCAGCTTAGCGCAGTTATTTATGCTACTGCAATCTCGGAATAGCTTCTAGAGCTAGATAACAGAATTGCTTGGGATGTATGCACTAGTAAAGCATTGTTGTTCCTTATTTCGCTCTTACGCCTAAACCTCCCTCTCTTTCTATTTTCTCTTCCCTCAGCTATTACAGCAGCAGTAGCAGCAATAACAATAACAATAGCAGCAATAGCATAGTATATATATCCCTATTCTCTGAAGCATTGCATAAAAGCTGATTCATTACAGATATCTTCTTTTATTGCTATTAATGCATCTGGGGAAGCTGCGCTAATCCCTGAGGTTTCTGAGAATCAGACTGCCTCTGAGGCTTTGGAGGCTGGCAATGCCTCCTCCGGCGCTGTTGATGCAGTGCTCCCTCCTCGCTATCCTCTGCTCTCGAACGCTCCCGCTGCTCCCGCATCCTCTCCTTCTCGTGGCCGCTGCAGCAGTCAGCGTGGTGGCTGCAAGGCCCCCGCCAGCAAGAAGCGCAAGAGGGCCTCTTCCTCGCTCTCTCTCTCGCCCTCGCCCGAGTCCCTCGCGACTTTCTCCCCGGGGGTCCCTCCTCTCATCACTCCCACAGCCTCCGTGAGTATTCAGATATACTGTGTATACAGCATCGTACTGACATTGTTAGGCTGTTAAGAGGAAGAAGATTCCTGCGGGGCTGGGTGCAGTGCGCCCCTCGGCAGGCTGGTGCCAGAAGTGCATGCGCTGCTGCATCCAGAAGCCGGATATCCGGTGCCAGAATCAGGCAGATAAGCAAGCTCCCTCATCGCTGTCCTACTATTCCTCATGCTGACTCATCATAAGTTCTAATGCTTGTTGTTTTCAGTATGCTAGCAACAATCATCTTTGCTACTCCGTAAGTAGTATTATCTCTGCTCCCTCTTGTCTTTTGCGCTGCTTACAAGCTGCTATAGCTTTCATACGAAGCAAGCTTAGCTCTGGATAGTGCATGCGCCTTTGGTTGGGAGCTGATCGATGAAGACTTGCAAGGTGTTCTCCAGCTGATGCGCTCTATAGATGCTGCTTCTGCGCTAGTGATTAGTACATCTTCTGCTCCCGTTTTGAGCAGGGAGTTGATATTATTGCTCCAGTGCAGTATTAGCGCTCTGAAGATATTAGCTGAGGCAGCTTGCAAGCTCTCTGAAGCAGCTTCTGAAAAGAAAGAATAATCTCTTTAAAAACTCTGAATGGGTGAGTATGCTTTTATAGCATGAGAAATAACTAGTATTAATTGCTATAATGCAGAAGCATTGCTAACTTCTTGGATGGATAAGCTATATAAGAATTTTTAGTTTTTCAATTAAAAATTAAGCAGCTTCTGTACTGCATTATTACTGCTTTAACTATGCTTTGTATTCTTTAATTAATAATCCATTATTAATAAATGCTTATAGTTTTTATAAATTCTTATTGCTGCTATATCTCTTTCAATGTATAAGGAATTAGCAGTTTCTAGATAGCTCTTAGTATGCTAGAATAGCTTCTATCTTCTAATGCATCTTTTTCTCGAGATTAATATCAGAGTATGCTTCAAGCTTTTTTTCATCTTATTTATTAAAGTTTTTTAGAGCTACAATTGAAAAGATATTATAGATCTTGTATTTTGCTAGCAATTCAAGCTTATATGCTAGTTTATGCATTCTTATAATCTCCAGCACTTGAAAAGAGCTAAGATATTTGTTTGCTAGTTTATTATTAATGCTTTTTTAGCATAAATGCTTAGCTAAAACAAGAATGAGATTGTTAAGAGAGAATCTTTTATTAGTATAATATTTGTTATACTATCTAGTATATGCTTATCTTACATGATTAAAGCTTTTCTAAGCTTCTTTATAAGCTTTAGCAAGATCTTCGAGCTGCTCTAAGATCTTGAGAATATAGCTTGGATGCTATATATTAATATCTATTAGTTTTGTTAATTGGAATTCATAAAGCAATATAGCAGATAATAATTCTATTCTGCTATAGTTTGCGCTGTTATATGCTGCTTGTGCAAGAGATAAGCGCTGCACTCAATCTGCTTGAGAAAGGCTGCAATAAGCGCAGAGATATTGTTCGAAGTTTTAGTTCTGCTGCTTAGTTTATTCATCTGTTTGGAGATGAAATGCAGTGCTTAGGTGCTGCTTAGTTTTCAGGTGGAAGCAGAAGTTAGTTTAGAAGTAGCTTGTAAAGAAGCTTCCTCTGTTTAATATAATGCTCTTAGGAATGCTATAGAACTGATATATATGCTATAGTATAATATCTGCTAGGCTGCTACTTGTAAGCTGTATTGTTATTGGAATATATAGAGTATACTTTGAGTATCTGTTAATAATTACTAGAATAGCATTATAAGCTTTATTATAAAAACTAATAAATTTAAGCAGACTGGTAATAAAGTTTATTGATATCTCAGCTTATAAGCAAGTTGCTGGTAGTAAGGAATTGAGCAGGCTATATAAGCATTGTTTCCTTGTTTTTATCTGCTAGCATACTGCATATATATTAATATACTTCTTTATATTCTTAGCTAATGCATTCTGTCAGGGTAAAAAGAGCACACAAGTGAGGTAAAGGGGTGTGAGCTGCTTCCAAGCTGCTCTGTTGATGCTTCTATTCAAAGGGATTACTAAATCTATCTCTCTTCTTCTCTTTTTTGCTGCTGAATCTGTTATTCCTCTTTCCCTTATGTATACAATTAGCCTGAACTAGATGGGATAATAATAGCTTGATAGCTATGCAGCATTATACAAAAGCGCTGCTTTAGAGCAAAGCTCTTGCAGCAGCCCTGAACTGCTACCAGGGATTGCAAGAGCTATCTATTTCCTTTGTGCACATACAAGCCCTAACAGAATCCTTTCTCTTCTAGGTTTCTGTTTCCAGGAACTATGCATTCGAGCTGCTCTCGCACAAACCCACAGATTTCTTTATACTTATCAATAGTTCTCTCATCAGTTGATTCTTGTTATTAGAATGCTTCGCTCTAGAGAGCTAAGTTTCCCTTCGCTAGTAAGTCATGTAATGTTATAAAGGTTATTCTAGCGCTAGCGTAGCGCAGATGCAGCATAATTACAAAGACTGCGCAGCTTAGTACAGTTATCCATACTACTGCGATCTCGGAATAGCTTCTAGAGCTAGACAACAGGGTTGCTTGGAATATATGCGCTAGTAGAGCACTATTGTTCCTTATTTCGTTCTTGCGCCTGAATCCCCCTCTCTTTCTATTTTCCCTTCCCTCAGCTATTATAGCAGCAACAGCAGCAACAACAATAACAATAGCAGCAATAGCACAGTATATATATCCCTATTCTCTGAAGCATTGCATGAAAGCTGATTCATTGCAGATGTTTTCTTTTACTGCTATCAATGCGTCTGAGAAGGCTGCACCAGCTCCTGAGATCTCTGAGGGTCAGACTGCCTCTGAGGCCTTGGAGGCTGGCAATGCCTTCTCCAGCGCTGTTGATGCGGTGCCCCCTCCCCGCCACTCTCTGCCCTCTGGCGCCCCCGCTGCTCCCTCATCCCCTCCTTCTCGTGGCTGCTGCAGCGGTCAGCATGGTGGCTGCAAGGCCCCCGCCAGCAAGAAGCGCAAGAGGGCCTCTCCCTCGCCCTCGCCCTCGCCCTCTCTCTCGCCCCCGCCCGAGTCCCTTGCAACTCCCTCCCCGGAGATCTCTTCTCTCATCACTCTCACAGCCTCCATGAGTACCCAGATATACTGTATATACAGCGTTATACTAATATTGTTAGGCTGTCAAGAGGAAGAAGATTCCTGCAGGGCCGGATACAGTGCGCCTTTCAGCAGGCTGATGCTAGGAGTGCATGCGCTGCTGCATCTAGGAGCTGGGTATCCGGTGCTAGGATTAAGCAGATGAGCAAGCTCTCTCATCGCTGTTCTACTATTCCTCATGCTAACTCATCATAGATTCTGATGCTCGTTGTTTTCGATGCGCTAGCAACAATCATCCTTGCTACTTCGTAAGTAGTATTATCTCTGCTTCCTCTTGTCTTTCGCGCTGCTTACAAGCTGCTATAGCTTTCATATAAAGCGGGCTTAGCTCTGAATAGTGCATGCGCCTTTAGTCAGGAGCTGACTGATGAGGACTTGCAAGGTGTTCTCCAGCTGATACGCTCTGTGAGCGCTGCTTCTGCGCTGGTAGTCAGTGCGTCTTCTGCTCCCGTTTTGAGCAGGGAGTTGATATCACTGCTCCAGTGCAGTGTTAGCGCTCTAAAGGTACTGGCTGAGGCAGCTTGCAAGCTCTCTGAGGCGGCTTCTGAAGAGAAAGGATAATCTCTTTAAAAACTCTGAGTGGGTAAGCGCGTTTTTATAGCATGGGAAATAACTAGCACTGATTGCTATGATGTAGAAGCGTTGCTAACTTCTCGGGTAGATAAGCTATATAAGGGTTTTTAGTTTTCCAATCAAAAACCAAGCAACTTCTGCACTGCATTATTACTACTTCAACTGTGCTTCATATTCTTTGATCAATAATTCATTATTAATAAATGCCTATAGTTCTTATAAATTCTTATTGCTGCTATATTCCTTCCAATGTATAAGGAATTGGCAGTTTCTAGGTAGCTTTTAGTATGCTAGAATAGCTTCTATCTTCCAATGCATCTCTTTCTCAAGATCAATATCAGGATGTGCTTTGAGCTCTTCTTCATCTCGTTTATTGAAGTTCTTCAGAGCTACGATTAGAAAGATATTGTAAATCTTGTATTTCGCTAGCAATTCGAGCTTGTATGCCAGTCCATGCACTCCTACAATCTCCAGCACTCGAAAAGAACTAAGGTATTTGTTTGCTAGTTTATTATTAACGCCTTTTTAGTATAAATGCCTAGCTGAGATAAGAATGAGATTGCTAAGGAAGAATCTTTTATCAATATAATATTTGTTATACTATTTAATATATGCTTGTTTTGCATAGTTAAAGCTTTCCTAAGCCTTCTTACAAGCTTTAGCAAGATCTTCGAGCTGCTTTGAGATCTTGGGAATATAGCTTGAGCGCTGCATATTGATATCTATTAGTTTTGTTAGTTGGAATTCGTAGAGCAATATAGCAGGTAATAATTCTATTCCGCTATAGTCTGCACTGTTATATGCTGCCTGTGCAAGGGGTAGATATTGCATCCAATCCGCTTGAGAAAGGCTGCAATAAGCACAGAAATATTGTTCGAGGTTCTGATTCTGCTGCTCGATCTATTCATCTGTTTGGAAGTGAAACGCAGTGCTTAAGCGCTGCTTGGTTCCCAGGTGGAAGCAGAAGTTAGTTCAGAAGTAGCTTGTAAAGAAGCTCCTTCTGTCTAATACAATGCTCTTAGGAATGCTATAGAACTAATATATATACTATAGTATAATATCTGCTAAGCTGCTACTTGTAAGCTATATTATTATTGGAATATATAGAGCATACTTCGAGTATCTGTTAATGATTATCAGGATAGCATTGTAAGCTTTATTATAGAAACTGATGGATCCGAGCAGACTAGTGATAAAGTTTATTGATATCTCAGCCTATGAGCGAGTTGCTGGTAATAAGGGACTGAGCAGGCTGTATGAGCATTGTTTCCTCATTTTTATTCGCTAGCATACTGCATACGTATTAATATGCTTCTTTATATTCTTAGCTAATGCATTCCAATAGTAGTAACAAGAAATCATCTTAGTAAACTTAGCTATGCTGAGATAGCTAGCTGTTGAATTATTATGATATGCTTTCAAAAGCTCCTTGCGAGTTAATGAATGGTTTAGCATAAATATACATCCTCTAAAGCATAGCAAGCTTTCAATAACTTGCTATAGCTCCATATCAGCTGTAGAGCTGCATATTCGTCTCTTGTATCAAGCTTCCGTCTGAACAAAAACGTTTTCTTGTTGCAGTTGTAGCAAATGTATTCTTATTAGCTCTATAAGCTGCTTCAGCACTATTGCCACGCTTTGCTTTACTGCTAGATGCAGAAGAGTAATCAGTTTGCAATCCGATATTCAAGCAATATCAGTTACTAAGCGAATATTCCGCTTCAACTCTGCGCTCTCGCTCGAATAGCAAAGAGCGTACTCTCGAAAACAAAAGATACTCAGATCTGCTGTCTGCTCAAACTCCGCACTCTCGCTCGAATAGCGAAAAGCGTATATTCGAAAACAGGAAATACTCAGATCTGCTGCTTGCTCTACTCTCACTTTTCGAATACAATCAATACAAGATTCTCTCTGATTCTCTAGATTCTTCATTGTAACGAAATCGCTAGAGCTTTGCAGCTCCTGCTCAGCTTCCTCTCCCCCCTAGTAATCTAGCTGCCTGAATAACCCATCAGCCGGATTGAACTTGCTGGGATAGTACTAGATAATGAGATTATATACGCTGAAATCATTCAGCTAGCACAACTAGCAAGCAGATAGCTTCTATTTAATCTTCCAGTACTGCAAGTTGAGATAATCCGTAAGAACGAGTACAAGCTTAGGCAGATACAACAAATAATACTGCTAGTTTAATACAGCATCCATAATAGCCAACAGCTTAATATCCCTCACGCCATACCGTATTTCTATTAGAGAGAGCTTCTTTAAATGAAAAGCAATTGAATGCTAGCAGCTTTGAAACAGCTAAGCTAGCACAGCTCCTATAGCAAAAGCAGAAGCATTCATTTCAACCCTTATTAGTAATACAGCATCATAGTAGCATAGCAATAAGGCTATTATAAAGAGTATAATCAGAGTCTTGAAAGCTACTCGAGTGCAGTTCGAGAGCGCAACCATGCTTATACTGCTGCTTTGCAAAAAGTCGATCAATAGTATAGCAACCTTGAAATAGTTCTGTATAAATCAACAGTAAAATCCAGTAAATCCAAGAAATATCTGAATATTGCAAACAGTATACAGAAGCAGCTACTATATAATAGCTGCAACATGCCTCTTATCCATGCTGATTCCTTCTGAGAATACTATAAAGCTCAGGAATTCCACCTATTGTATATTGAACTTACACTTTCTCAGATTGAGATATAGCTCTTATTGCTATAGCTGCTTCAAGACTTCTCGAATATAGCTTGTATGCTGCTTAGCATTATCACTATAGATTAGGATATCATTCAGATAAACAATGCAGATTACATCTACTAAATCTGCTAGCATCTTATTAATATATGCCTGGAATGTAGCTGAGGCGTTAGTAAGGCTAAAGAGCAGAATACAGTACTCGAAATAGCTGTATTTCATATGGAAAGCAGTCTTTCACTTATTTCCTTCACAGATTCGGAGCTAATAATATGCATTCTTAAGATCGAGCTTAGTATAGATTTGTATATAGCTTAATCAATTGAGAATCTTAGCAATCAAAGGCAATAAGATGCAGTTCTTGCATATAATCCGATTCAATGCTCTATAGTTCATGCAGAAGCACAGCTTGCCTTCTTTCTTTAGCATGAATAGTATAGATGCGCTAGCAGAGCTAGTCAAAAGTTAAATCCATTCTCTAGCTAGCATCTCTTTCAAGTATTTCCTAAGCACTTCTAATTCAGCTGCGGAGAGAGCATACAAGAGCCCCCAGAGCAGTCTTGCTCCCTCTTCAAGCTTAATGCAATAGTTGATATCAGTATGGGGTGCAAGCAACTTTGATGCTTTCTTCATGCATAGATCAACGAAGTTGCAGTACTCAGAGAGCAAGCGCAGCTCTAGCGCTGCATCTTCTAGCTTAGCTTCGAGAAGTAAGTCTGGTAGACTTGGATAGTAATATGCTGCAAAGGCAACCCTTGCTTCTTCAAGCTCTTTCGCCATAGTACAGAGCTGAATCTGGGAGTGCTGGAAAGGAAACCTCCATTGCTTCATATCTCATCATATTACCGAATTAACAACTTCAAGCTACAGAAACCCCAGAATCAAGCTAGGCTAGCTAATATCTGCTACTATAAAGCAATGATACTGCTTCCTGAATATTCCTAAGCTATCTATGATCTTCACATCGATAGAGCAGCTACTATATATAATAATAGCTCTCTAGTTAATTAAGATAAGCTTAGAGCATACTTCAAAAGATTAGTTCTGCACCAGAGCTTCAGCTAAGCAGCAGTTAATCAGATTCTCCTCTGCTCCCGAGTTAACCAACTCATACGTATGCTTCCTTTTGTTTCCAAGCAACAGCCTTGCATGAACAGTAAGCTAGCGAAGCTTCCGCTCAGCATCTCCTCAGCTCTATTGCATAGCTATCGCTATCTTGTTAGCCTGCTTGCAGCTATTTGCTGTATACCTCTTCTTCCTGCAAATCCAACATTCTGCTTCTAAACAACTGGAACTATAGTAGCCTAGCTTATTACAGGTATAATAAACGTTTTATTGAGACTCCGAGCATAGATTAGCAAAATAGCCTATCTTCTAACAGTTGTAACAGCGAGCAAAGTTGTTGTTAACTATCTGAGAGCGCATCAACGAAGCTTGAGTACCTGTAAGAAGAAGTGCCTGAGAACTATACAGAGCTGTATAATTCCTTGCTATATAGCCTAGCTTGCTACAGCTATAACAGCTACAATATGAAGAAGTAGCAGTTCCTGAGCTGCTGCTTAGAAGCGTCTTAATAGCAGATTGAGAGTTGGTAATCATCTCTTGAGCAGATTCGATACATTATACTAAGCTAATCAGAGCATTCCAGCTGCTCGGAAGCATTATCTGCGCACTGATAGCAATACGAATTTCTAATCTGAAGCATATAAGAACAGCTGTTATGCAATGTTGCTCAGTATTAGAATAGAGAGACTCAAGCTCCGCCTCCTAGTACTAGCGCATAAAGCTTATCACTAATTCGCTCTTGCCTTGAGCAATACTTGCAAGCATTGCTGCAGCAGTAACAGCGCGGGTAGTGGGATTAGCTAACTAGTTTTCCAGGAAGAACTCGAGTTCTCCAAAAGTGATAGAAATAAGCTCATGCTATTCCTCCTCCTAGCAAGCAACATAGTTAACCCAATCCTGCTTGAGATTATCTTTCAAGCAGTGCACTGCATATTCCACCTTATCCGCTTCATTAATCAAGCAGCAGATATCGAAATAATACTGCAGATTGTATAGAAACATCTTCAATTCCATATACAATCCCCCCTTATATATAAGAGCTAGCAAGCTGCAATATAGCTATGCAAGCGCTGTTAAGAGTGCTTCTGAAGAAGTTAGCACAGAAAGGATGCTGAGAGAGCTGAGGCTAGCTAGCCGGAGCTTCAGGCTGATATCACTGCTCTGGAGTAGTATTAAGCAAGCACGCTTGCTCCTCAGCTGCTGCCATATCTCTTCTTCTTCCAACTAATAATCGAGCTCGCATTCCTAGCATTGCAACCCGGCCATATCTGCTAGTACCTCGAGCGAGGAGTTCTCGTAAGCTGAGCCTGGGTTCGAACTTGGAGGGAGAGTCTGAGAGGGGAGTTAGCTTAAGATCTGTAAAGGATCAGAGTTGCCAGCTCGTTATAGTTGTCGCTCTGGAGCAGCGCTGCTGCTTCGTATAACTGGAGCCATTCTCATCCCCAACAGCTCACTTCCCGGGAAAGGGTAGAAAGTTCAGACTTGTTAGAATAAAAAGAGCACACAAGTGAGGTGAAGGGGTGTAAGCTGCTCCCAAGCTGCTCTGTTGACGCTTCCATTCAAAGGGACTACTGAACCTATCTCCCTCCTCCTCTTTTTCGCTGCTGAACCTGTTGTTCCCCTTTCCCTTATGTACACAATTGGCCTGAACTAGATGGGATGACAATAGCCTGATAGCCACGCAGCATTGTACAAGAGCGCTGCTTCGGAGCAAAGCCCTTGCAGCAGCCCTGAACCGCCACCAGGGGTCGCAAGGGCCACTTATTTCCTTTGTGCGCATACAAGCCCTGACACATTCCAATAATAGTAACGAGAAATCATCTTAGTAAACTTAGCTATACTGAGATAGCTAGCTGTTGAATTATTATAATATACTTTCAAAAGCTTCTTACAAGTTAATAGATAATTTAGCATAAATATATATCCTCTGAAGCATAGCAAGCTCTTGATAACTTGCTATAGCTCTACATTAGCTATAGAGCTGCATATTCGCTTCTTATGCTAAGCTTCTGTTTAAATAAAAATATCTTCTTGTTATAATTGTAGCAGATACGCTCTTATTAGCTCTACAAGCTGCTCCAGCACTATTGCTACGCTTTGCTCTACTGCTAGATACAGAAGAATAATCAGTTTGTAAT